GTAAAGTTGCCTAGGCTGGGCTCAAACTCAAGACTGACCTGCCTCAACCTCTCAGTTAATGGGATTATAGGCGTGCATCCTTACCTAGCTAGGCCAATCCTTTGCATAGCCTCATTTTGACCAGGCATAACCACTGTCTTAGTTAAATCTCTGTCTAAAGGCCCATCTTGGGCTGGTGAGATGGCTCAGTGGTCTAAAGCAAGCTTAGTAAAGCACAGGGAAGGCAGTTCAATCCCCCAGCACCACATGCCAGCCAGCCCAGCCCGCTGGTGGGCTGAGCTGGCCACACACACACACACATTAATTAATTTTTTTTTTTTTTAAAGGCCTATCTTGTGTTTTGGGTCTAACTTCCAGAGGAATTCCAGACATCTTGTCAGGAAGCAGCCTCTTGGTAGGTTTGGGCTAGGGCCTGAGAGGATCCACTTCCCACCAGCTCCCAGGCCAGGCTCACCAGGGTCAGCCTTGTCACTTTGGACAGGTGGCAGGACTTCCTCAGGTATAGGACATGTGCATCAGGATAGTGGTCTAGTGCGGTCCCCCTATGACAATCACATTTCCTCCCTCCCTGCTCCACTGCCCTGGCCTTCTGCTCCTTGCAAGGTGTGGTCTGAGGCTTCTTATTCAGAGGCCGTGGTGTTTGCTTAACTAAAATGAGGCAATGTTGGGTGAAACCTAATTAACAAAAAAATCTGACTCAAGAAAACCTCTCCCCGGAGGTCAATGAGAAAAAAAAGTCTTATTGAATACGCATCAAGCCAAAAGATGAGGCAACCTGCTGAAAGGATTGTGAAGATACAGAGCATCTCCCTCTGGCCAGGTGGACGTGGCTGGACAGACTGTTCCGTGAGGCTCACCTTTTGCAGTCAGGTTGGGTCCATTTCTGAGTGACAGCAGTTCAGAGAGGGCTCAGGGGTCCTGGAGGAAATGTCCCAGAGTGGTGAGCCTGTGAGACTTAACGTAGCCACTAAAAAAATGTACACATATTTGAAAACTCCGTGGAGTGGCACAGACCTGTAATCCACAGGAGGAGTGAAAATTCAAGCCCAGCCTGGTCAACTTCATGCAAAACTTGTCTCAAGATAAAACATTAAAAAGAGCTGGCGATGTAACTCAGTGTGAAGGCTTTGGGTTCAGTCCCTAGTATGGCCAAGAAAATAAGATTTATACATATCTGAAAAGGGCCCAGAAATTCTGAAAGAAAAGGGAAGGTCATATCCATTCTGCTTAACAGGGAAAATTATGCTACGGTTTTTTTGCTTGTCCTTACATGGTATGATTTCTTTTTTTTAAAGATTTATTTATTTATTTATTATTTATTTATTTAGTGTGTGTGTGGCCAGCTCAGCCCACCAGGGGGCAGGGCTGGTTGGCATGTGGTGCTGGGGGATTGAACTGCGGTCCCTATGATTTGCTAAGCTTGTTGTAAGTAGGTGCTTTAGACCACTGAGCCATCTCACCAGCCACAGAGTTAACTTCTGTCTGGGCCTGAGAAAGTTAGTACTGTCCTAGAGTTTGTTTACTAACTGCCTTTTGACACCATGTTCCCAGAGACCATGACATGGTCCCCAGCCTCTGCTGTGCCTGGCTGCCGGAAGTGACAGGACTGTATGGCTGTGACCTGGTGGTTTCTCATGGGAAGTACAGTCCTTCCCTACATGACATTGCTGACACAAACAAGATGACAGATTAGATGTGTCTAATTTTATCCCAGGAAGAAGGAGGCCAGTAGTTATTGAGCCTACGCAAGAACAACTTCCCCTGGAAAGGTGGGGCTTCCAGGGTGCCCTCCAGCAGGAGGGACTTTGCTAGGCCTGAATTAGCACCCCAGGCAGTAGCGTGGTTGTATTTTTACCACATTGCCACAGACTACAATAGTCTATTTAAATAAAGTTCAAATTTAGTTTTGCTCCAGGGCAGGGTGGGAAACCCTAAATTATCAAATCTAAGTGTCCAGTTCCTCACTTGCGATGAGTGCTACACACACACCTTCTGCAGTGGTCACAGGAATGAAGTGGAACAAGCTCAAGGTCCCAGTCGGATCCCTGGTACCACCAAAAAAAAAAAGGAATGAAAGATAGTAGTGCTCACCCAAGGGCATGAGGTGGGGCCTCCATAAAAGCTAGAAGCAAGTAGTTGGGGATGAGGCTCAGCGGGGGAGTGTGTGCCGAGCAGGTGTGAGACCCTGGGTTCCATACCCAGCACCAAAATGAAATATTTCCACTAAAAAACATATACCCCTCTTAGAGACAGGGTCTCACTATGCAGTTCAGGCTGGCCTCAGGCTCTGTGATCTTCCTGTCTCAGCCTCCTGAGTGCCAGGATTACAGGTGTGTGACACCACTCCTGGTTCAAAAAGGACACTTCTACCTGGCTGATTTATATAGAAAGGGTGTAGGAAAGAGAGCCCAAGAGTTCAGAGGGTGGGGCAGGAGCTGGAGTCTAGGGGCTGAGCATGGCGCAGCTCCTATGAAGGGGGCTCTCAGGAAAAGAAGGCTACATAGTGCTTTTTTATTTGTTATGTATTTGGTTGTTACAGGGTCTCACTGCACAGCTCAGACTTTGTGGTGATCCTCCTGTTTTCAGCGTCGTCGCCAGCACTGGGATTACAGGCCTTGGCCACTACACCCGGACTCTGGCTGGCTCAGCCCACCCTGGGGGCGGGCCTGGCGGGGCATGTGGTGCCCGGGCGCAAACTCAAACCACCGTCCCTGCGCTTGCCTAAGCAGGCGCATTAGTCTGCTGAGCTATCTCCCAACCTCCTAAAAAGTGTTTTTTAAAAATAGCTTTCAGGGCTGGAGAGATGGCTCAGTGGACTAAAGCACCTACTTGGAACAAGCTCGGCAAAGCACACACACACAATAAATAAATGTTAAAAAAAAAATTAATAAAAAAAAAATAAAAATAAAAATAGCTTTCAATCAGCACAGGGTTGTCAGATTTAGCAAACAAAGTTCAGGACACACAGCTAAATTTGAGAATTATTCTCTGTTCGTAGAAACAGCCAATGATTCTTGTATATAAGTAAGTACCTACGCACTGCATGCGGCATGCCCGTACTAAAAAGCACAGATCTGAAATTGAGAATGCAACTGGCTGGCTTCATCTTTCACCTCCCAACTCTAATTCAGTGCTTCCTAGGGGATTTTAAAGGTTTCCCAGGGCCGGCCAAATAGCTCAGCCCCAGACGTGCCATGCCGGCCCCGCCCCCAGGACGCACTGACACAGCAATTGAGCCTGGGCGGGGTGGCGCGCACCTGTAATTCCAGCTCTTGGGAGGCTGTAAACAGGTGGATCAGTAGGAGTCTGATCTAATAGTGAGACCTTGAACACCTTGTAGACCCTTCCCTAAAATACAAAAAAAAAAAAAAAGTTTCCCAGACAGCGCTGCCTTTGGCTCAGCGTGCTGCTGCCCTGGAACGGAAGGCCACGCCCCCATTGCAATTTAGCTGCACCCGCCCCTGACTTGCCTAGAACCCTCCAGATTCACATTCCTGGCCTCCAGAGTGACCTGAGGAGCCCCAGGAAAGGGACCGCCCAGCCAAGCCTGCCGAGGTGCTCTCCCACCCCGCCCCCCTTAATCTCTTTCTCTGCCTCAGCTTCTCCCCAGGCCTTCTCCCTCCTGCAAAGTCTGCTTTGAACTACAGAAGTGCTTCCAAAGCTCCGGTCCTAACTTGGGTTTTTCCTGTGGCCATCCTGCCCCACTACCCAGTCCTCCCTCTGTTCCTCCCTCACTCTTTCCTCCCCTCCTCTCCTCCCCTCCTCCTCTCATGCCCTCCCTCCACCACCTTCATTTCTCTAAAGGCCAGATAAGGTCAGTTTTGATGTGGTGACCCGAGATTTTGGCCCAATGAATCCAGTTGGCCTGGACTTTTGGGGCCTAATGCAGGAGCTCAGACACATCAGTGGCCTCCTGTGGTTTTGTTACTTAGCAGCAGAAAACCTAGCCTCCCAACCATCAGGTGGCATCTTTTTGTATGTGCTTTGTTTTTTTCACTCTCCTTTTACCTAGAAAGGAGACTCCAGGCTGCGATGACCATTGACCACTTCTTCCCCGCTGCGTCCCTGGTGCCCAGCACAAGGCCCCAGTGTGCACATCGTGTTTATGAAGGAGGAAGCAAACAGCGGCCTGCGACATCAGGTGCCCCCTGCCCCTGCCTGAACCCTTTCCCCAGCTGAAACAAAGGGCTCAGAGAAATCATGTTTGCAAACCATTTGGTACCTAGTAGGCCTGTAAGAAGTTATCCTGAGGGGCCCGGGAGATGGCTCAGTGGAATAAGCTCTTCCTTGGCAAGCGCAAGGGCCTGAGTTCGATCCCTGGTTCCGCAAAAAAAAAAAAAAAAAAGAAGTTATCCTGATGGGCTGGGGGTAGTGCGCAGGGCTAACGTGTTTGCTTAGTGTGTAGAAATCTCTGGTGAAACTCCAGCACCATAATTGAATAATTTATGCAACCATTCTCTTTCCATTATGTATTTTCCATTGAGTTCTCACTATGCAGTTCAGGCTGGACTTCAGCTCACTTTATAGCCCAGGCTGGCCTCAGACTCACAGTGATCCTCCTGCCTCAGCCTCCAGAGTGCTGGGATTACAGACCTGTACCACCACACCTGTCTCCAAGGGATTAAGTGAGGGTGAGAATATAGTAAAATATTATCTCTTTATCCAACAGAAAAAACTTTTCCTGCAGATCACTGAGGGCCTACAAATTAAGCTGACAAAAGAGAAATGAGCAAGAGACGAGACATGTTTTTTATTCAGTTATACAAGCATTCATAGAAACATGTGTTCAAAATTTGGGGCTTGTACGGTCTACCTTAGCGGAGGAGGAGACAGGTTTATCCCATGGCAAACAGGCAGAAGGGAAAAGGGAAAAGGGCTTTATTATTTTTGAGGACACAGAGAGAATCTGGGGAAGATCAGAGATTCTCTGAACTGAAGCAAAGGGAGGCTGAGGCTTTTATGGCTTTTTATCAGGGTGGAGTTTGAGGGGGACGTTTAGAAATACCTGAAGAGCCCATTGGGGTCTTCCCTGAGGCAATGGGAAAGGAGAATAGAAATTGCTCCCAGGGCTGAGTTGGAGAAGAAGGTGGGGAGGTGGTCTCTGGGAAGTTAAGCCGTTGTTTTTGAGGGCTTCAGCCATATTAGATGACCACCACAATAATTCAGCAGTTTGTACTAGGGCCAGGACCTATCAGAGACTTTTGACAAGGGGGTTATTTTAGTTTGTAGAGTGGTAGGCAGCTGAACTAGATAGAAATATTATAGGCAGTCAGACAGGGTTAAGCCCTGAGGGCAACAGCATGGAAGACAAGATACCGTTGCAACCGTGAGAGATGGATGCTCCCGCTGTGGGCCACACCTAAAGACCAAAGATTGAACAAATGCCAACCTCCCTAAAGATTAGCATCCGGGATTGATCCTCACCTTGAGGAAGTCGGGAAGTCCTAATCTGACTGCTACCGGCTACTGGATAAACTCCTGTTCCATATTCATGCCCACTTGCTATGTGATTCGCTTTCCCCATTCGGTCATGGATCTAATCAATTTTACCTGAGCAATGGTGCTTTTAACCTTATTGGTTGCCCATAGTTTTGTCCCACCTAATGCCCACCTAAGCGAGTCCCCACCTTTCCCACCTTTGGCCCACCACATCACAAGGTTTTATTCTATAAAACCTGGAAATGGTAGCTTCTCAGGGGCCACCCGCTTGGGTCCTCCTTCTGTCCCTCTCTCAGACAGAAGCTTTCTTTCTCCCAATAAATATTCTGCTCTTAACCTCTGTGTGCTCCTAAAATTCATTCCTCGGTTTTAGAGAACAGAAACTTGGCCTGGGTACCTTTCAGGTCAAAAGATTCATGCCTCTGTCTCAGTAGCAGAGTCTGTTTGGTGATTTCTCATTCTTCAGAGTCCAGTGCTAAGTGATAAAAGTCAGTCTTCTTGGCTGTAAAACTGAAACACTCTGAGGAAGGATTTATGACCCTTGGACTCTTAGATTCTGCTTTTAGGCTGATAGGGGGAATTTTAAAATGAAAGAAAGGGGGAAAAAAGTTTTATTCCTTGTTCTGGATATCTTTTCATCCTTCACCTCCTTTTTCCTTTTTTTAAAAAAATTTTTTTTATATTTTTTGGTGCTGGGATTAGTATGCCCAATGCATACTCTACCACTGAGCTACACACCTCCCCACACTTTTTTTTTTTTTGCAGAACTGGAGATTGAACTCAGGCCCTTGCTCTTACCAGGGAAGCACTTATTCTACTGAGCCATTTCCTCAGCCCCCACCCCTCCCCTTTAGAAAATTAAAAAAAAAAAATCTAATATTGCTACAAATCAAGGAAATCACCTTCTACTTATCTTCCTCCATGTGAGGCGAAGTTGAAAGTTCCTGGCTCCAGCCTCTGGTCCTGGGGTCTCCTCCCCGTTGTGTCCTTACCTCTGTCCCCTCTGTCCCCTTGCTGCAGGTGCTTGCCTGAGGCCACCGGGCTGCCTTGTGTGCACAGAGCAGTAGCGCTTGAGTCACCTGAAAGAGTTCACCTATCCCCCAAGGCGTGTAATTTACCACCCAGGAATTGCTTCTGTGCTGGATGAAACAGCTGATCAATGAAGAATTTAAGTAATTTCAGATTCTGGAACAGGCTGAAGAATCTTATTTATTCAGCCAGTTACCACAGACCCACAGGGAAGAGCACAAAGCTACACACAGAAAATAGCTTCCACTTAAGCACCACTTAACCAGGGCCACTCTTGCTTAGGCTTTACTTTCATTTCATTTAATCCTCGGAGCAGATTCCTGAGGTCGGTGTCCTACTTATCTCCACTTTGTAGATTGGAATCCTAGGCAGGAGCTAGTGGGTGCTGGGTTGGGCACAGGGCAGGCTCTCGAACTAAATAAAGAGTCTCCATGACCTCACTCCCAGCTGTTCTGGAGGCTGAGGCAGCAGGATTGTGAGTTAGAGGCCAGCCTGAACAACTTAGCAAGACGGTCTCAAAATGAAAGATAGGGCCAGCCAAATAACTCAATGGATTGGGGCTGGAGAGATGGCTCAGTGGTCAAAAAGCACCTACTTGGAACAAGCTTGGCAAAGCACAGGGACCATGGTTCGATCCCCCAGCACCACATGCCAGCCAGCCCTATCCCCAGGTGGGCTGAGCTGGCCACACACACACACACACACTAAATAAATGTAAAAAAAAAAAAAACAAAACCAAATAACTCAATGGATTAAAGAGCCTGCAAGCAG